TTCGTAAAATAACATTTGAAACCAAGTATTATGATATGTGAATTTCGAAAGAAATCGTGTTAGCGGTTCGAGGCTGTGGCTCTAAAGAGAATTTGTCACTCCATGGTGTTATTGGTGAGGGCATTAGGGCTATGAGTAAGAGTATGACAGAGGCCAATTTTCCATTACCAATCTAAATGAAGAAGTAACGTTGATGCTTGTAACCGGAGTCCGGCCTTCTGTTGCCCCACTCTCCAACACTAATATTTATTTTGATAATTAATAAAGTTTCCCTCAAACCGTGAATGTTACTCAAAAGAAGATATTTCTTTTGAGTGGTGATTTTCCCACTTTTTTTTTTTCCTATTTTATCCACTTATACTCCTTTTTTATAACTAAATAGTAGATATTCTTCTTTTTTAAGCTCTTCATCATTATATTTTTTCTTTAGCTGGATAATTACTTGGGTCACTTCATCAATATTATCTGTCTGCATGTTATTTAATTATTATTATTACTTGCTTCATAAATATTCAGCTTGGGAGTCTTACATTATGCGCCCTCGTGCGTGGGTGAGCAAACGGCGAGTGTAATGGCGAGATGAGAGGTGGGAATTAAATAAAACTTATCGGTGGGAGGTAGTAGAAAATTAGATGGAAAAATTCGAAAAGGTCAAAATGGGAAACACAAAAGTTGCATGAGGAACTCGAAAATAGAGGGCAGCATAAGAGGACGCTTGGCGTGAAGACGCAACCATTTATTACCAAATGTTTTCTTATCCCTCCCAGAAAATAATTAAAAACCCCAAAACTCTCCCACTTTCTCAGCAAACAAACAAGACAGCTTCTGAATCAGAAGCTATACCTAAACTAGTTTAAGAATCTCTCCTTTAGCTAGCTACCTCAAAACTTGATGGCCAATAGCAGCAAAAGATGGGGCAATCAATATGCATGTTCTTCTTCAGCTTCATCAATGGCCATCTTGCTGTTTGTAGTTCCATTGGTTGTGGTTTTTGGGTTGGTTTCTTTGTTGGGTCCAAAAACCTCCAACTGGGTTCTCATATCTAATTCTTACCCTTGGCTATGGAACTCACAGAGCTCCAGCCCCTCTTTGAACTTGACCGGTGCTTCAAATTCTTCTTCAGAGTTTCCTCCCCTAAACGATGACGTTTTGGGGTTGAGATCGTCGGTTGTTGTGGTGGATATGCACAGCATAGAAGAAGCTCACTCGGATGACTCTCTGCAAAATCGATCTTCTTCTCCTCCACTCTCCATTGAAGAAGCTGTACCACCAACACTTGAACAACCAGTAAGAGAGCTCCACCTTTTACACATGCATTTACAATTGCTTTTCCTATTCTCTATGGACTTCATTTTTCAGTTGCTTGCTTGCTTGTTCTTGCTATATTCTTGTTGATGCTTTTGCTTTTTTCATTGAAAATAATTCAAGAATTTCTTTTTCTTTTTCTTTATGGGGGTAGGAAAAATACATTAAATCAAAACAAAGAATTCGGCTTGGCCCATACTTTTAGAATTTTCAGTAATTTTTGGCTGGCTGCTCTTTGACCTACAAGTATAAGTAAAAAATCGTTTGCAGGAAGAAAGAAAAAATATGCATTCCCAAATTGACTGCATAATTAAATTAATTTTTCTTAAACTTTTTATTAGGATCGAGGAAAATATATCTATATGTTGATGCATTTTGACATGTTTTAGGTTTCTGTAGAAGTTGCTTGCTGTCACAGTTGAATGTCCCTTTCCCCATCACCTCTCGTTTTGGTGAATGATTTAATTGAGAAATAATAAATGAATTTAATTGCTTAGACCCTTTACGGCACTCTTTGTGCTTTTGTATCTACTCATTACGTGTTTAGTTTCTACTAATTAAGTACTGCCCCAGGTAAATGTTCCAAACTTATTAATGGGGTCACATTCTTTTGTCTTCCAGCGGTTGCTCTTTGTCTAAGCAATAATTTGATTCTTTTATAGATTTTTTATATGAGAGCAGATTAGATATTAAATAATTGATTAAGAGAGTAAATCTAACAATTAATCAGTTCAACAGAATGGTACAAGGCAAGACGACTACGCGAATGAGACGCAGATTTCTATTGTGAAGGCTGAAGGACAACGAAAAAATACTAATTTAGGGTGGCTGGAGGCCCGCCTTAGAAGAGCTCGAGCTGCCATAAGAGAAGCTAAATTTGGAAATCAAACACAAGATGTGGACTACATTCCAAATGGTCCCATGTATTGGAAAGCCAATGCCTTTCAAAGGTACCTACTCCATATTTGAGTCTTAATTATCAAATAATTTTGTGGGTTACTATTGAGATTGCCAATTGGGTGTTTCAATCTTTCATTGTTACAAACGTGTAATTTGCAACTTTAAAGATGTGACACAAATTGTATACCAAGGGATGGCTAATTGCTCTTATTTCAAACACGTTATCTCATTGATAGTACGCCTTTGAAATTACAGGAGCTACTTGGAGATGGAGAAACGGTTCAAGGTTTTTGTTTATGGAGAAGGGGAACCCCCGTTGTTTCATAATGGCCCTTGCAAGAGCATATATTCAATGGAGGGGAATTTTATCCATGAAATTGAGGTGAATAAGCAATTTCGGACCCACGACCCTGAGAAAGCACATGTTTATTTTCTTCCTTTCAGCGTGACAATGTTGGTCCGCTTTGTGTATGTGCGTGACTCACATGATTTTGGTCCCATTAGACAAACAGTAAGAGACTATGTCAATATTGTCTCTGGAAAATATCCCTATTGGAACCGAAGCCTTGGAGCTGATCACTTTATGCTTGCTTGCCATGATTGGGTATGTTACTCTTACTACTTAATATTAATTACTGTCACATTGTAATGTAGCACAAATACTAGCTAAACCAATATAACATTCTGGTTTAAATTACTTGGATTATGTTTCAGGGGCCAGAAACTTCAAACTCAGATCCTCATCTTCGAAAAAACTCCATTCGTGTTTTATGCAATGCAAATACCTCAGAAGGGTTCAACCCTTCTAAGGATGTATCCTTTCCGGAAATCAATCTTCAAACTGGTGACACACACGGGTTTCTTGGCGGGCCTTCTCCAAGGCTACGCTCAATCCTAGCTTTCTTTGCCGGAGGGGTTCACGGCCCTATTAGGCCGGTGCTGCTAGAGCATTGGGAGAACAAGGACGAGGATTTACGGGTGCATCAGTACCTTCCAAAGGGTATTTCTTACTATGACATGATGAGACATAGCAAGTTCTGCCTCTGCCCAAGTGGATATGAAGTTGCAAGCCCAAGGGTAGTGGAGGCAATTTACACTGGGTGTGTTCCTGTGCTGATTTCAGACCATTATGTGCCACCATTCAGTGATGTTTTGAATTGGAAGTCTTTCTCTGTGGAGGTTAAAGTGAGTGAAATTCCCAATTTGAAGAACATACTAATGAGCATTTCCACAAAGCAGTACATAAGAATGCAGAGGAGAGTGGTACAAGTAAGGAGACATTTCGAGGTCAATTCTCCTCCCAAGCGATTTGATGTGTTCCATATGATCCTCCATTCTATATGGCTCAGAAGATTGAATGTTAGAGTGCATGATGATCAATAAGACCTTTTAAGTGTATGCCTGTCTATAGGGGATGAAATTCTTTTCTTTTTTCTAGGATTTTCAATTTGTAACAAGTGAGAAAATAAATTACATTTTGTAGGGTTTTTTTTTTTTTCCTCTGTGTGTTTCGATTTTTATAAAGTCCCTAGCGAATTACCGTTACCAATTCTTGATTAGTATTGGCCTAAAAAAGAACAAATTACAATAATGCAAGTGCTAAGAGTCGATGAACCAATATTGTTTTTGGACAACCCATTTTTCATAAGAATTCCTAACTGGGTATATTTGATGGTAGCTTGAACCTTACCAAGACAAAGCGTAGCAAACTTCAATCCAACCATAGGTGATATTGGGTCATAGCTGTAGGCTTCTGTGATTGACAACATGTGCTGGGATTAGGGAATTTGCACATAAATCTCAACTGTGAATTTAGGACCCAACATAATGCTAACTAATTCAATGTTACATATTCTAGCTGTGTCCCTAAAAGATGACAGTCACAATGATTGTATTGCTTTCGTATAATTGGATTAATGAGAAAATAATATGTTATCTAATCTCTCTAATCTCTATCATTTACTTCCATCTCTGCTTCCTTTGGCTCTATTTTTGATGTATCTTCACTTATGAGGCAATCGTACTCAAAAACTACAAACATATACTTCTATCATGTACACCCATTTTCATTTTGAAACTTGTAGACAATTTTATAACATGGATAAACAAACATTTTGCATAAACAGTTTTTATGTGACATTTTATAGCATCACAATTGCATGTTAAAAGGAATTCATCATGCATGATGCACTTAGATCTTAGAGTCACATATCCGGGTTGGGTATAAATTTATTAAAAATAGACAAATAATAGGTGATTAAGTTGAACTAATAGAGCAATTGATCGAGAAAGAAAGGACGTAGAATTAATAGAGCTTGTTGGATTGGGCTTTATTGGGCAATCTAATTAGACTGGGTTTTATCTACATTCCAAGCCGACGCCGTATTATTTGTCCTGATTTATAGACCAAATGGAAGTTCAATTAGAACCCTACATTCTTCTTAGCCAAAACTTATCCACCCGAGCAAAGACCCACTCAATAGAAAATGTGCTAAAAAAAACTTATCCACCCGAGGAAACCGATCAAAGAACCCACAGCAAGCCCAATTCGCCACCTGGCAGCACCAGTGGAACGCAACCATATCAAAAGTCCAAGGACCGAAAGTTCTCAGGTCCCACACTGACATTCATCGCTTTGCATGCATGCCGACGTATTGAAGTCTTGTCCCACGATACCACGTAGCAATTTACACCGCGCTCCGGCTCCACGTGTCACCTTCTCAAAACTCCACCGATTATATATACTATTAGGCCACCTCTCACCTTCTCCTGTAAAAAAAGGGAAGGAAAAAAAAAATCGAAGACTCGAAAGCAAGCATACAGAGTGTTTGATAAAATACTGTGTGAAATTTGTGAGTGCAATTTGGAGTGTTTCAATGGCGTCGAGGCAAGCCAAGGAGGAGAGAGCCGATGCCGCAGCAAGGCTCGCAGCGGATGAGTTGAGAGACGTGAACAAAAGCCGAGTCTATGAAGAAAAAACAAAGATTGAGACTACTTATACGCCTACTGATGAGCTAGGGAGGCCAGCAGACCAAGTGCATGAAGAGAAACCTGGGGTGATCGGGTCGGTGCTGAAGACGGTGACCGGGAAGCTAGAGCAAGCAAAGGATGCTGTGGTGGGGAAAAGCCACGATGAAAGTCATGTTGAAGAGAAGGCCAAAGAGACCACGGGCTCCGCGGGGGAGAAGATAAATGAGTACACGGGTACCGCGGCTGAGAAGGCGAAACAGTCTAAGGACACGGCAGCTCAAAAAGCCAAGGACGCAAAGGACAAAGGACACGGCAGCTCAAAAACAAGGACGCAAAGGACACGGCAGCTCAAAAAGCCAAGGACGCAAAGGACACGGCAGCTCAAAAAGCCAAGGAGGCGGAGGACACAACAATGGGGAAAACAAGTGAGTATACTGGTTATGCAGCACAGAAGGCCAAGGAGACCAAGGACGCAGCAGCTCAAGAGGCCAAGGAGGCAAAGGACAGGACAATGGGGAAAACAAGCGATTATACATGTTATGCTGCTGACAAGACAAAAGAGACCAAGGATTATGCTGCTGGAAAGGCTAAGGAGGCCGCCGAGAAGGCGAATGAGACGAAAGACTCGGCAATGGGGAAAGCTGGTGAGTATACAAACTTTGTCACTGAGAAAGCAAAGGATGCTAAAGACGCGACTGTTGGGAAAGCAAGCGAGTATACAAATTATGCTGCAGAAAAGGCCAAGGAGGCCAGGGACACAACAGCCGAGAAGGCCAATGAGACCAAGGACTACACAGATGAGAAAGCAAAAGAAGGGAAGGACACGACTGTGAGTAAGTTGGGCGAGCTGAAGGACACGGCTGCCGGCGCTGCTCGAAAAGCCATGGACTACTTGTCTGGTAAGAAAGAGGAGACCAAGCAGAAGGCTGCCGAGACTGCAGAGCAAACAAAAGATAAGGCTGCCGACACTACCGAGAAAACAAAAGAGAAAACCAAGGTAATAAAGAATAATCGTTCATTCTCGTATTCATATATATTTGAAAAATGTGTTGCACAAATGTGTTGCATTTTCTTTCATTTCCATATTAACAAATTCTGATGGTCGAGTTTTGTTAAATATATGCAGGAGAAGTTGAGCGA